ACAAAGAAAATCCCCTTTCCTCAGTTTAGCCCTTCCTGGGCTCAATTCACAGTTGAGTTTTTATAGAACCCATTCCAAGCACAGCCATCCATCAACTGGAAGCAAACAAGGAAAATTCCATTTTTCCTGAGGAATATGTGAATTTTGGGTGGTCCTCAACCCTCAAATCTCAGTTTTATTTTGGCTCCATCTGTTCCTCTGGAGCCAGGCCCCATTCCTGCCAGGACGGAGCCGGAGGGATCTCAGCTTTGCCTTCATCCAACCCCCAAAAATGGCAAAGGAATCACGCTTGGAGCCTGGAATCTCCTTGGAAGAGCAGCCTGGAATCTCCCTGGAAGATTCCCAAACCTGGAGGATCTGAACCCCTTTGGGGTTTTTTTTGTCCCCCTGATAATGTGGGGGGCTGAGCAATGAGGTCGGTGCCTTCCCTCGGCTGCTCCAGGATATTTGGGAGAGGCTGGAAAATCCCCGGCTGGGTTTGGGATGTGTTTTCCTGGGAGCAGCCCCCGCTTTCCGTGGCTGCTGTAAACAGATCAATCTCTGCAGCTGAGCCCATCCCGGAGGAGACTCCAAGGAATTCTGACAGGTTTTATGCCCGAATAAATCATTCCTGCCCTGGCAACCGCATTGGATTTTCCCCCGGCATCAGCAGGAGCGTTCCCGGATGGAAGGGGGAATTGAGGGAATGGATCACTGTGACAGCAGTGGTACAAAGGGCTGTGATCCCTCCCCGGCTCCAGAAATCCCTGCCAGGACTCCATTCCCAGCTCCCCACATTCCCAAAATCCTGGGAGGATGTGGGGATGCTCCTGGGTGCAGGGAGAGGTTTCCTTTGGGAGCTGCTGGGAATTTTCCAGCCGGGCTCGGGAAGGGTTTGGGAGGATTTGGGGCCCTGGGATGTCCCCGAGCTGTGGGGTGGGAAACTTGGGAAAAGGGGAGGGAATGGGGATTGGAGACTTTGCCTGGAATGCTCAGGGAATGGGCAGAGAATCCCACCCTGGGACCAACTGACCATTCCCTGGCTATTCCCTGAATGGAGCCTGGAAAAGGCCTCGGATTTGGGATTTCAGGGCATTCTCCCCCTGTTTTCCCCTTCCAGGGCCGTGTCCATCCCCTCCGGCCGCGGCTCCAGGGCCGCGAGGGAAAGCTCAGGAGAGGGAAAGGGGTTGGATCTTTCCAGGATTTCATTGGGAAGCTCTGTTCTGCCTGGCTGCTGCACGCCTCGCTCGCATCCAGCTGGGATGGATTCTTTTCCCTTTAGTGGGAATGTTCTGGAAGAGGCTGGAGTGTCACAGACCTCAGGGTGGCCCCAATCCCTTCTCCTGGTCCTCATTCCCTGGGAATGGCCCCAATCCCTTTTCCCTGCCCTCATTCCCTGGGAATGGTCCCAATCCCTTTTCCCTGCCCCTCATTCCCTGGGAATGGTCCCAATCCCTTTTCCCTGCCCTCATTCCCTGGGAATGGTCCCAATCCCTTTTCCCTGCCCTCATTCCCTGGGAATGGTCCCAATCCCTTTTCCCTGCCCCTCATTCCCAATGAGCAGTGAGGATCTGACCTCTGCTGCTCTCATTCCCTGTGTTTTATCCCCAATTCTTTTGCCACAAATCCCAGGATTTCCCAGAATTTTGGTGCCCTGTCCAGCCTGCCCTTGGACACTCCCAGGGATCCAGGGGGAATTCCATCCCAGCCCCTCAGGGAGGAATTTCTTCCTAAAAAAATCCTGGCTAGAGCGTGGATCCCCCAGGATTCCTTAAATCCTCCTGCATTCCCTCGGTTGCTCCAATGAATAATTAATTCTAATTAAGCCCATCCTTGTGGAAGCAATTCCTTCTCTCCCCTTTTCCCTTCCTTCCCTCTGGAACTCCCCGATGCCCAGGGGGTTCCTCAGCCCTGGAAACACCAAATCCAATTGAATTCCTCATTTCCCACCCCAAAATTCCCACCCAGCCCGGGCTGGTTCCTAATGGCTGCTGCTGGCAGCTCCTGTTCAGAGCTCAGTAATTACCAGGGTAATTAACGCTAATTACTGCTGGGAACAAGCTGGAATTCTCCACCCTCCAGGAACCCCAAATCTGCCGGAATCTGCCCCAAAAATAAAACTGGGCATTCCTGAAAATCGTGAATTCACTTCCATGTGGATGTCCTGAACCCAAATCGTTCCTCCCCTGAGCTCTGAGTTTTTGGGAAGCATCCCAGAGCCCCCGGGTGCCATGGAAACTGCGGGATCCACCCAGGAGCTGCCTTGAGTTCCCGGGGTTTTTTATTTTCTGGGATATTTTGGACTCGGCATTAAGCAAACATTTATGCAAAACGCTGGAATGCATCCATGGAAATGAGGCTGAACCAGAGAGGGAATTGAGCGGGATGGGCTCGCTCAGAGCTGCAGATCCCACTTGGAAAGCATCAAAAATGACAAAATTTGGGGGGTTTTGTGGTCAGCCCTGATTTTGGGGTGTTTCCTGTGGAATTGGAGATGGAGGGATAACACAAAGCCCCGGGAATGTGGAATTCCCTTTCCTTGTGTGGCTGAGGGGGAGTTTTGTGCCTCATTTTATGGGGTGGGGGTGAAATTCCCCATTAGGGACAGGGCTGTTAAAGGGATGGGATGATGCTGATGGATCTGTTGGGATCTGAATCCCAGCAGGAGGGATAATCCCACTGAAGGAAACGGCTCTGTTGGGATCTGAATCCCAGCAGGAAGGGATAATCCCACTGAAGGAAACGGCTCCGTTGGGATCTGAATCCCAGCAGGAAGGGATAATCCCACTGAAGGAAACGGCTCCGTTGGGATCTGAATCCCAGCAGGAAGGGATAATCCCACTGAAGGAAACGGCTCTGTTGGGATCTGAATCCCAGCAGGAAGGGATGATCCCAATGAAGGAAACGGCTCTGTTGGGATCTGAATCCCACCAGGAAGGGATGATCCCAATGAAGGAAACGGCTCTGTTGGGATCTGAATCCCAGCAGGAAGGGATGATCCCAATGAAGGAAACGGCTCTGTTGGGATCTGAATCCCACCAGGAAGGGATAATCCCAGTGAAGGAAACGGCTCTGTTGGGATCTGAATCCCAGCAGGAAGGGATGATCCCAGTGAAGGAAACGGCTCTGTTGGGATCTGAATCCCACCAGGAAGGGATAATCCCAGTGAAGGAAACGGCTCTGTTGGGATCTGAATCCCACCAGGAAGGGATGATCCCAATGAAGGAAACGGCTCTGTTGGGATCTGAATCCCACCAGGAAGGGATGATCCCAATGAAGGAAACGGCTCTGTTGGGATCTGAATCCCACCAGGAAGGGGGATCCAGCATCCAGCCCGGCGTTCACAGGAATCTCAGCCAGGAACGTGTGGATATTTATCTCTCCTTTTTCCCACATAAAATCACCGATGGAAAACCAACAGCCGGAATTTACCGGGCCCGTGGGGTTGAGCTGAGCCCGGGAACGCTGCTTTAATTAAAATCCAGAATTCCAGTCGGCTGGAACTGCCAGCAGGGGCGGGATGCTCCAGCAATTCCCACCTGGAATATCCTGCTTGGAAAAGCACAGATTGTGTGTTCCCGGCGGAGCAGCGGGATTTGGGAAGCCCAGCCCGGGACGGGGAGCTGGGATCCATCAGGGACACAGGAAACACCAGGAATCACCCAGAGAACGGAGCGGCCCCGAGCCCTGCCCGTGCTCCAGGAGGGATTCATGAATTTCCATGATTTGGGAATCAGTGCTGCCCTCCCAGCCCTGAATTTGAGGAGGAATTTTGGGAATTGTCCCTTTTCCTGTTTCGGTGGCGTTTCAGGGCAAACCCCTCCCACTGAGGGTGCCCCAAACCCATCACCCATCCTTTTTATGGGATTTAATGGAATTTTCCCACCTCGTCCCACTCCCACCCCTCCTCCCCTCATTAAGGGATAACGAACCATTCTCCACATCAAAGGAATATTTATCCATGAAAATCCACACTGGGACAATCCTGAGACACTTTGGGAAGGACGGTTGGGTTCCCTCTCTCTTGGGATGCTCCATGGGAAGAACGTTCCAGAAAGCTCCTTCCAGCTGCTGCCAGCCCGAATTCCCCAGGGATGTCAGAGTCACAGGGATGGGATTTGGGGTGGATATTCCACAGGGATGGGGTTTGGGGTGCATATTCCACAGGGGTGGGATTTGGGGTGGATATTCCACAGGGACGGGATTTGGGGTGCATATTTCACAGGGGTGGGATTTGGGGTGGATATTCCACAGGGACTGGATTTGGGGTGCATATTCCACAGGGGTGGGATTTGGGGTGGATATTCCACAGGGATGGGATTTGGGGTGGATATTCCACAGGGACTGGATTGGGGTGCATATTCCAAGGAAAAGGGGGATTCCCATGCTAAACTTTGCGTTATAATGGTTGTGTCCATCTTTCAGCTGAACACAGGATTTGGGGCGGGGTTTGGGAAAGGAATAAATCCCAAAATCCCGGAATCCCAGAATGGGGAAGGCTGGAAGGGCCCATGGTGGGTCCTGAAGGCTGAAAATCAGAATTTTTTCAGATTATGGCAATTTTAATGGGAAATAAACCCCGGGAGCTCCCGGGCTGGGCTCTGTGACCTCACACCAGGGCTCCAGCAAGGACACGGAAATCCCAAAAAACCCAAATCCCGTCATTCCCTGTGGGAACGCTCCGCAAACAGCGGATCCTGCGCTTCCCTCCTGCAACGCTCGGCCATGAGGAGCCCTCGAGGGACAGAAAATAAAAACAACAATAAAGGCAAGGATGGGCGGGGCAGGCCTTGTATCCACGGCAATCCCAGAAAAACGCTCCGAACAATGGGAATGGCTCCCGGATGGATCCTTGGCTGCAGCTTCCAAAGGAGCCGCGGTTCTTGTGCCAAACAGACCCAAAGCAGGGCCAGGCCTGTCTGAATCCCAGAATCTGTGCAGTGCTGATGATTCCCCATGCTGCTGGAAAAAGCCTTTTTGGGATTTTGGGATTTGGGATTCAATTTCATTCTCCCTGCATATCCAGCAAGGAGAATGAAATTAAGGATGGGAGGAGGGAGGTGCAGGATGGGGTCGTTTTCCATGGGTGGGATGCACCGAGAGGTCCCTCCTGCCTCGCAGAGGGCACGGAAGCGCCGGCCAGCGTTGGGATTCCAAGGAAAACCTGGCTCTGTCCCGTTCCTGCATCCCCTCCATCTCCAGCCAGGCAGTGAAAACATTCCTGATGTCCAGCCCCACAACGGAACTCATCCCAAAGAAAAAGAGACGGGAAAACAACACGAGAAACGCCGGCACGGCACAAGCAGGGCGGTGACACCGAGGTGGCGCTGAGGGGACATCCCTAGGTCAGGGTGTTGGAGTAGAAGCTGAAGCTCTCGGAGACCGTCTTGGAGTCGCTGCGGGAGGAGCCGTTGGAGGTCATGTCCAGGGAGAGCCGCTCGGCCCCGGCCGGGCTCGTCCAGCTCCTCGTCGGCCGCGCGCCGAGCGCCGAGGCCACGGTGGTGGTGTCCATGCGGCTGAGCTTGGACACGGAGCTGTGCGTGTGCAGGAAGCGCGCCGAGCGCAGCTCCAGCCCCTCGTACTCGCCGGCGCTCACACACGGGCACCAGCGGAAGGCGTGCTTGAATCCCACCCGGAACCTGGCCACGGTGACGGGATGGACACGGGCATGGGCGGGGAAAGATGTGGGGATGGACAGAGGAATGGGATGGAGATGGACAGAGGAATGGGATGGACACAGACAAAGGAATGGGATGGAGATGGACAAAGGAATGGGGATGGAGATGGGCAAAGGAATGAGATGGAAATGGACAGAGGAATTGGGTGGAGATGGCCAAAGGAACGGGGTGGAGATGGCCAGAAGAATGGGATGGACACGGAAAAAGGGACAGGATGGAGATGGACAAAGGGAAGGGAATGCAGATGGACAAAGGAATGGGATGGAGATGGCCAGAGGAATGAGATGGAGATGGGCAGAGGAGCGGGATGGAGATGGGCAAAGGAATGGGATGGAGATGGCAAAGGAATGGGGAAAGACATGGAGATGGACAAAGGAAGAAGGAGAGAAAGCTGAGCTTTTCTAAACATTGCCATCTTTCACTGAGGAGAGGAAAAACCCTCCAAGAAATGAAAAACCCACTGAGAAATGGAAAACCCACTGAGAAATGGAAACCCCCTGAGAAATGGAAACCCCCATAAACCCCAATTAGGAGTTGGGATCATTTCAGTTGCTGCTTGCCCTCAAAACCCACAGGGATTAGGAAAGACTCCAGGTGAGAATTGTGCCACCCCCACCCCTGCTGGAAGTGGCAGATGGTTTTTTTGTGCCATCCCAGAAAACCCCATCCCTCCTCTCCGTTGGGACCCCCCGCTCCGCGTTCCCGAGCCGCGCGGCGCCCACCTGTCGTTGAGGCAGCAGTAGATGATGGGGTTGTACATGGTGGAGCTCATGGCCAGCCACATGACGGCCAGGTAGACCTGCTGGATGAAGCTCTGCACGTACCACTCGGGCCGCAGGTACTGCAGCGTGAAGTAGACGTGGTAGGGCAGCCAGCAGAGCGCGAAGGTGCACACCACCATGATCATCATCTTCACCACCTGCCACGGGAGAGATTCCAGCCTCGGGAATGGCCTCTGGGATTGGCCAGGAATTCTGGATCCAGCCCCTCCCAGAGTTCCTCACCTTCCTCTTGGCCAACACATGCTCATGGTTTGGGATTGGCCAGGACTTCTGGATCCAACCCCTCTTGGAGTTTCTCACCTTGTGGAGATTGGCCAGGAATTCTGGATCCATCCCCTCCCAGAATTTCTCACCTTTCTCTTGTCCAAGACTGTTCATGGTTGGGATTGACCAGGAATTCTGCATCCAGCCCCTCCCAGAATTCCTCACCTTGTGGAGATTGGCCAGGAATTCTGGATCCAACCCCTCGTGCTGCTCAGTGCCACAATCTGATTTTCCCAGCCCTAATTCCATTTGGGATGGCCTTGGCAGGGCTGGATTTCGTTTGCCTCATTCCAAAGGCATCTTGGCAGCTCCAGAGGAGGATTTTGTGAAGATTGGCCAGGAATTCTGGATCCATTCCTTCCCAGGGTTCCTCACCTTTGTGGGGATTGGCCAGGAATTCTGGATCCATCCCCTCCTGGAGTTCCTCACCTTGTGGAGATTGGCCAAGAATTCTGGATCCAGCCCCTCCCAGGGTTCCTCACCTTGTGGGGATTGGCCAGGAATTCTGGATCCAGCCCCTCCCAGGGTTCCTCACCTTGTGGGGATTGGCCAGGAATTCTGGATCCAGCCCCTCCCAGGGTTCCTCACCTTCCTCTTGGCCGACACCTGCTCGTGGTAGCGGTCGGAGGAGTCGCCGGGGATGGCGCTGGCCCAGAGCGTGCGGCCGACGGCGGCGTAGGCGCAGCCGATCACCAGCAGCGGCAGCAGGTACAGCAGCACCGTCATGGAAAAGTGGTACCTGGAAAAAAACCAGGATAATCCCTGAGGATCCAGCAGGATGGACGTGGAAATGGTGGGATCTGGAAAAAAACGGGATAATCCCTGAGGATCCAGCAGGATGGACATGGAAAAGTGGGACCTGGAAAAAAACGGGATAATCCCTGAGGATCCAGCAGGATGGACATGGAAAAGTGGGACCTGGGAAAAAAAATGGGATAATCCCTGAGGATCCAGCAGGATGGACATGGAAATGGTGGGATCTGGAAAAAATACAGGATAATCCTTGAGGATCCAGCAGGATGGACGTGGAAATGGTGGGACCTAGAAAAATGGGATAATCCCTGAGGATCCATCAGGAGGACCTGGAGAAATGGTGAGACCTGGAAAAATGGGATAATCTCTGAGAATCCGGCATTGGGAATGCCATGGAAGTGTTGGGAATGCCATGGAAGCACTGGGAACAATGTGGGAGCACTGGGAATGCCGTTGGAATTCTGGGAATGCCGTGGATCAGTGAGGAATTCTGTTAGAGAGGAATGGTTTAAATGGAAATCCAATAATTCTGGGTTTAAGCACAGGAGGGGATGGAAGCTCCAACCCTGTGGAAAATCCTGGAAAATCCTCTCTTCCCTAAAACCTGAGTCCACAAACGTGGCTGGTGCTGGCTTGGAAAACTCCCCAAATCCTGCCTGGTTAGCGGGAATTTCCTTCCCAAGGCTCTGGGGTCTCTGGGCTCCAATCCCAGCTCCTGCATCTTCCCAAGGATTTGGGCTCCAATCCAGCCCTGCTCCCGCTCCCCCTCCTGGGAGCTGGGGCTGAATCCCAGCTCCAGAGGGTGAGAGCGGCTCTGGGAATTCTCCTGCAGGGACCGGGGCTGCTGCTCGGCGCCACAATCTGATTTTGCCGGCCCTAATTCCATTTGGGATGGCCTTGGCGGGACTGGATTTCGTTCGCCTCATTCCAGAGGCGTCTCGGCGGCTCCGCGGGAGGATTTTGTTGCGGTTCCCATGGAATTGCGGATCCTCAGAGCGCCGCAGGAACGTCTGGAGGAGCTGCGGGATAACGTCAGCAGCGCAGAGCCCCGTTCCCAGAGGGGTCTGGGCTCCCAGAGCCGTTCCAGGCAGCTCCAGGAATCCTTTGGGATCTAGGCATGGAAAAGCACTGGGAATTGCTCTGCCTGCAGCATTCCCGGGATTGGGGTTTGCAGCTGGAAGGGGTTTAGGATCTGGTGTGGGATGGATGGAGGATCCCGTGATGCCGGAGGATGGAGCTGCCACCTCCTTTTCCCTGGGAATCCCGGGAATGTTGGCGTGGAAAGGGCATCCCTGAATTCCCAGGGGATCCAGGGACGGCCTCACGCTTCCCTCAAAACCCCAAACGGAATTCCTGATCCCTTTGGGAAGCAGGGATCGATGTCCAGCTGGAATCCTGCAGAATTCTCAGCTCTGGCCAAAACCAGGGATGTTCTCCAGGGAAAAACCAGCTCTGGTACCCTCTGCACACCAGGGCTGTGCTCCCCAGAGGTTTTCCAAAGGAATTCCCCCAGAAGTGTTGGAATTCTCCTGTTTTCCCTGGGTTTTCCCCCTGTTTTCCCTGAGAGCTGGATAAAGGATGGAATTTTTCCCCCTGGCGCCACAAACGGAGCAGCTGCCACCGGAGCATTCCCGGAATATCCACTCCGAGGCCATGGAGCGGGGAAGGGCCGGAATGGCACCTCTGGAATGACCCAAACACCTGTCCCGAGTTATTTAGGGCAGGAAAATCCCATCCCGGGATCTGCTCATGGGATTCCCGAGGACTGGAGACGCCACTGAGTTCCTCCCAGCCCCCAAATTCTTTGGGATTTGCCATCCCAAAGCTGCCAGGGATCTCCTTTTCCCACTTTTCCCACTTTTCCCAGTTTCCCAGAGCGCGGGATGCGGATCCATTGTGGATTTAACAGCACTGTTTTCCTTTGGGATCAGCCTTTGGAAAATCCACCCTGGGAATATTCTGGGATGGAAGGGGCCCCCGAGGACGAACTCTGGGAATGAGGTGACAAAGGACACGGGGAGGGTTTGGATCTGACACCTGGCCCGGAATTCCAGAGTGGAATTCCACAGCCCCAGTTCCTCCCTCCTCAGGGCTGCAGATCACAAACTCCTTTTTTTATTCCCTTCTTTATTCCCTTTATTTATTCCCTTTTTAAAATCCCTTTTTCATTCCCTTTTTCATTCCTCCCCATCCTTTTTTTCCTCAACACCTGACATTTAACTCCCCTTGGCAAACCATTCCCAGACCCTTTGGAAATTCAGGACTTCCCTTCCCTTCCTTTTCCCCCTTTTCCCCCCCCCTCTTCTTTTCCTCTTTCCCCCCTCTTTTTTTCTCTTTTTTTGCTCCTTTCATTTTACTTTTCCCTTTCCCTTTCCCCCTCTATTCCCCCCATTTTTCCCCTCTCCTGTTTTTCATCCCATTTTTCCCTTCTCCCACCCCATTTTCCCCTCTCCCACTCCATTTTCCCCATTCCCACCCCCATTTCCCCCATTCCCACCCCATTTTCTCCATTCCCACCCCATTTTTCCCCATTCCCACCCTGTTTTTCCCCATTCCCACTCACGTTTTTCCCCATTCCCACCCCGTTTTCCCCATTCCCCTGTTTTTCCCCATTCCCACCCCATTTTCCCCCATTCCCGCCCCGATTTTCCCCGTTTTTCCCCATTCCCACCCCGTTTTTCCCCGTTTTTCCCTGTTTTTCCCCATTCCCACCCCATTTTCCCAATTCCCACCCCATTTTTCCCCATTCCCACCCCGGTTTTGCCCCGTTTTTGCCCATTTTTCCCCATTTTTCCCCATTCCCACTCACGTTTTCCCGGACTCGGCTCCGCCGGGCTCCGGCCACTCCACGAGGCAGACGAGGCGCCCCGGGAGCTCGGCGGTGACGGAGAAATATCCCTGTGGGAAGGCGAGCAGCAGCGCCAGCAGCCAGATCAGCCCCATCACGGCCTTGGTGGCCGCGGCCGAGAGGCGCGGCCGGAGCGGGTGGATGATGGCCATGTACCTGGGAGGCAAAATGGGAAAATCTGGGGGAAAATCCCGGGGTTCTGGGTCTGGGAACAGCGGGAATATGGCCAGATGGATGATGGCCATGTACCTGGGAGGGAAAATGGGAAAATCTGGGGGAAAATCCCGGGGTTCTGGGTCTGGGAACAACGGGAATATGGCCAGATGGATGATGGCCATGTACCTGGGAGGGAAAATGGGAATATCCTGGGGTAAAATCACGGGGTTCTGGGTCTGGGAACAGCAGGAATTTGGGCTGGAAAATCCCGGGGTTCCTTTTGGGAGAAGGGGGAATTAGGGATGGAAAATTCTGAGGTTCTGGGTCTGGGAACAGCAGGAACTGGGGCTGGAAAATCCTGGGGTTCTGGGTCTGAGAACAGCAGGAATATGGCCAGAAAATCCCAGGGTTCTGGATCTGGAAACAGCAGGAATCAGGGATGGAAAATCCGAATGTTCCAGCTTTGGGAACAGTAGGAATCAGGGCTGGAAAATCCCAGTGTTCCAGCTTTGGGAACAGCAGGAATTAAGGATGGAAAATCCCGGGGTTCTGGGTCTGGGAACAGTGGGAATTAGGGCTGGAAAATCCCAATGTTCCAGCTTTGGGAACAGCAGGAATTAGGGATGGAAAATCCCAGGGTTCTGGGTCTAGGAATAGCAGGAATCAGGGATGGAAAAAGCCAGAGTTCCCTTTGGGAAAAGTGGGAATAAAGGCTGGAAAATCCCAGTTTTCTCTTTGGGAAAAGGGGGAATCAGAGCTAGAAAATCCCAATGTTCCAGCCTTGGGAACAGTGGGAATTAGGGCCAGAAAATCCTGGGGTTCCCTTTGGGACCAGTGGGAATTAAAGGCAGAAAATCCCTGTGTTCTCCAGCTTTAGGAACAGCAGGAATGGGAGCTGGGAAATCCTGGCATTCCCTTTGGGCAAACAAAGGATGGGGTGGGAATTTGGGAGCCGAGGGAGCTGCCAGGCCCCGAATCCTTTGGGATTTTCCTGAGGCACTTCCCGCAGTGCCAGCCCCATCCCGAATTTCCTGCCATTGTCTCGAGTGTTCGGAACAACTTCCGTGTGTTTTTCTTTCGTGCCCAGGGCTGGAGCAGCTCCAGGGGAAGGAGGGGATGGAGACGCTTCCAGCAAAAATCCCGCATGGATCCGTGATGGATCCCACAAAAAATCCCACTGGGGAGCCTCTGGATCCTGGGAAGTGCCCGGGGCTGGGCTGGACGGGTTTGGGGCAGCCTGGGATTGGGGGTCCTTCCCAATCCCAGGACTTGGGGAATACGAGGCTTTTTCCATGCTGCTTCCCTGATTTTTGGTGGGAATTGGGAATTCCATCCTGGCTGTGACTGGAACCCCAACACAGCCCTCCTCATTCCCATTCCCAGCTCTGCGCATTCCCAGCTCTCCCCATTCCCATTCCCATTCCCATTCCCATTCCCAGCTCTCCCCATTCCCATTCCCATTCCCAGCTCTCCCCATTCCCAGTTCCAGCTCTCCCCAGTCCCATTCCCATCTCTCCCCATTCCCATTCCCATTCCCAGCTCTCCCCATTCCCAGTTCCAGCTCTCCCCATTCCCAGTTCCAGCTCTCCCCAGTCCCATTCCCAGCTCTTTCCATTCCCATTCCCAGTTCCAACTCTCTCCATTCCCATTCCCAGCTCTCCCCATTCCCATTCCCATTCCCAGCTCTCCCCGTTCCCATTCCCAGCTCTCCCCATTCCCAGTTCCAGCTCTTTCCATTCCCATTCCCAGTTCCAGCTTTCCCCATTCCCATTCCCAGTTCCAGCTCTCTCCATTCCCATTCCCAGCTCTCCCCATTCCCATTCCCAGTTCCAGCTCTCTCCAGTCCCAGTTTCAGCTCTGGCAATCCTCCCTCCCAGGCCCCTGGAACACATTCCTGCTTTTCCTGCCTTTCAGCTCCATTGGCAGCTCCCAGCTGCAGGAAAAAGAAGAATTTTCCCAAGGTTTGGATGGGATTTGGGGTTTGTTCCCTTCCCCGTTCCTGGCTGGAATTTGGGATGCAGTTGGAGCTGCGGCTTCCGGATGGGAGCCTGGATGTTTTGAGAAAACCAAGCTTCTCCTCAGGGTTTGCAGGTGCGGGAAGATTTTTTGGGAACGCTAATCCTGAAAAAATTCCAGCCCCAGCCTCCCAGAGCTCCCTGCTTTACTGCAGCTTCCCTGGATTTCTCAGGGTGGATCAAAGGCTGTAAATTAAATTATTCAGCCCAAAAAACAATCCCTGGAATTCATCCCAGCCCCAGAGAGGCTTTTGCAGCCGATCCCAAGGATCCTCCTGGAACTGCACCATTGGAAAGGAACTGGAAATATCCCGGTTTTTATTGATGATTGCCTCAATTCCCGTGGATTTCAGGGAGAGGATTTGGTGACAGAACCAAACCTGGGGCTGGTTTTAATGCCCAGGGAGCCTCACCCACCCCAGCCCTGCTTCCCACAGGGAATCCCGGAGGCAGCGGCTCCAGAGGCACTGGAAAAGGGCAGGAAAAGCGCCCGGATCCCTGCCAGAATTCCCTTTATTCCCTGGGAACAGGAGAGGGGCAGAGCCCGGCTGGCTCCGGGAACGGGGCCTTGGAAAAATCCGAAATGCTCAGAGGGAGCCACGGGGTGAATCTGGAGCTGGGGCTCCGGGGGAAACGGCCCTGACCCCAAATTCCTGGAGAGGGAAGGGACATCCGGGGGGTTCTGGGGATTTGGGGTCCCCCAGTGCCACTGGGATCCGGCTGAGCTTGGGATCGTGGATCCTGTGGGATCTGGGATAACGGCTCCAGTGGGATCTGGGATCTGGCTGATCTTGGGATCATGGATGCAGTGAGGTCTGGGATCATGGATCCAGTGAGATCTGGGATCATGGATGCAGTGGGATCTGGGATCATGGATGCAGTGAGATCTGGGATCATGGATGCAGTGGGATCTGGGATCATGGATGCAGTGAGATCTGGGATCATGGATGCAGTGGGATCTGGGATCATGGATCCAGTGAGATCTGGGATCATGGATGCAGTGGGATCTGGGATCATGGATGCAGTGAGATCTGGGATCATGGATGCAGTGGGATCTGGGATCATGGATCCAGTGAGATCTGGGATCATGGATGCAGTGAGATCTGGGATCATGGATGCAGTGGGATCTGGGATCATGGATGCAGTGAGATCTGGGATCATGGATGCAGTGGGATCTGGGATCATGGATGCAGTGAGATCTGGGATCATGGATCCAGTGAGATCTGGGATCATGGATGCAGTGGGATCTGGGATCATGGATGCAGTGGGATCTGGGATAACAGCTCTAGTGGGATCTGGGATCTGGCTGATCTTGGGATCATGGATGCAGTGAGGTCTGGGATCATGGATCCAGTGTGGTCTGGGATCATGGATCCAGTGGGATCTGGGATCATGGATGCAGTGGGATCTGGGATAACAGCTCTAGTGGGATCTGGGATCTGGCTGAGCTTGAGATAATGGATCCAGTGTGGTCTGGGATCATGGCTCCAGTGGGATCCAGGATCCAGCCGAGCTTGGGATCACAGTGGGATCTGGGATCCAGCTGAGCTTGGGATCATGGCCCCAGTGCAGGAACTGGGCAGGGAAAACCCAACCCTGGTCACTGACCTGTCGCCATGCTCCGGCCAGGAATGTCCCCATCACTGACCTGTCCCCAACTCTGACCAGGACTGACCTGTCCCCAACTCCGACCAGGACTGACCTGTCCCCAGCTCTGGCCATGGATGGATGGACCCACCACTGACCTGTCCCCAACTCCAGTGACCCCATCACTGACCTGTCCCCAACTCCGACCAGGGCTGACCCCACCACTGACCTGTCCAGCGCGATGGCCGTCATGGAGTAGATGCTGGCGAAGACGGCGGCGATGGGGAAGAAGTTGTGGAAGCGGCAGTAGGCGGCCCCGAAGTACCACTCGTTGTGCACGGCGTAGCTGAAGTTGACCACGGTGTTGAGCGCGGCCATGGAGGCCTCGGCGAAGGCCAGGTTCACCAGGAAGTAGTTGGTGACCGTGCGCATCCGCTTGTGCGCCAGGATGATCCACATGACCACGGCGTTGCCCACCACGGCCACCACCACGACGAGCGCGTAGGCCGCGGCCCACAGGGCCACCTGCCACGGCGGCTGCACGAACGGGTTGGACCAGGACGCGTTCAGCGACGCGTTGGGCGGCTGCGGCTCCGGCCGGGCCGCCAGCGGCGGGGACTCGTCCATGGCCGCGGAGATCGGGGTGAGGAATCTCAGACCAGCAAAACTGGGGTGCAGGCACCTCTGGATTTGCCAATTTGGGATGTAGGGACCTCCTGATCAGCCAGTTTGGGGTGAGGGACCCCCTGATCGGCGAAACTGAGGTGAGGGACCTCTGAAGCAGCCAATTTGGGATGCAGGAACCTCCTGATTGGCAAAATTGGGGTGAGAGACCTCTGGATCAGCCAATTTGGGATGCAGGGACCTCCTGATCAGGGAAATTCAGGTGCAGGACCTTCTGCTGAGCGAAATTGGGGTGAGGGACCTCCTGATCAGCAAAACTGAGGTGCAGGGACCTGGATCCTGGATCGGCCAATTTGGGGATGCAGGGGCCTCCTGATTGGCAAAATTGGGGTGCAGGACCTTCTGCTGAGCGAAATTGGAGTGCAGGGACCTCCTGATCAGCCAATTTGCGCTGAAGGACCTCCTGCTCAGGAAAATTGGGGTGAGGGACCTCTGGATCAGCAAGATTGGGGTGCAGGGACCTCCTGGCTCAGCCAGTTTGGGGTGCAGATCCCTGCTGGTTTAGGGTGCAGCAGGATCAGTGCACAGCCAGTTTTGGGGTGCAGGGCTCTGCTGGCTCAGCCCCTTTGGGGTGCGTGGCTGCTTCGGGGCATGGGCACCTCCCGGTTTGGGGTGCAGGGCTGGCTCAGGGTGCAGCGGGTTTGGGGTTCCGGTCCCTCCGGTGTCCGGGGGCAGCTGGAGCCGGGAGCGCGGCCATGGCACGGCTGGCTCGGGGTGCGGGTCCCGCCCGGTTCGGGGTGCGGGTCCCGCCCGGTTCGGGGTGCGGGTCCCGCCCGGTTCGGGATTCAGTCGGGTCGGGAAGCAGCCGGTTCAGGATGCGGCTCCTCTCGGTACCTGCTGCAGCCGGTTCGGGATGCAGATTCCCCGGTTCGGGATGCAGATTCCCCGGTTCGGGATGCAGGCGGTTCCGGATGCAGGCGGTTCCGGATGCGGATTCCCCGGTTCGGGATGCGAAATCCCGCTCGGTTCGGGAAGTGAAATCCTGCTCCGTTCGGGCTGCAGGTTCCCCGGTTCGAGATGCGGATCCCCGCTCGGTTCGGGGTGCGATTCCCCGGTTCAGGCTGCGATTCCGCGGTTCGAGATGCGGATTCCCCGGTTCGGGATGCGGATCCCCCTCGGTCCCGGCCGCCGGTTCCGCCCGGCCCAGCCGCGGGCTCGGGGCGCAGCCGGTGCCGCGGACCCGACTGCGGCGGGCGAGGCACGAGCGGCGCTTTTATGGGCGGCGCGGGCGGTGCCAGAGCGGGGCGGGCAGAGCCGGCCGGGGACAGCCCTGCCCCGCTCCCCCCGCTCCCCCCGCTCCCCCCGCTCCCCTCTCCCGGTTCCCCCCATCCCCTCCCCGCTCCCGGGACCTCCGCAGCCGCCGCTGCCGTTCCGAGGGGTGCAGATTCCTCCTCCGCCTTTCCAGGCACCCCCATCCCAAATTTCCCTCCCCCCATCCCCTCTCCCACCTTTTCCCCCCCAAATCTCCCCGGGCATTTTTGGGCCCCGACTCTAAAATCATTGGGAATTGGAAGATCCTGGTGACGGCAAAGCTCCGGGGTTTTATCGATGATTTTACCGATTATTGATTGGTTTTATTTTTATTTATCGCGAACCTTCTCAGCTCCCCCCAAAACGGGCTGGAAATTCCCTGTCCCTGAAATTCCCTCTCCGTGACATTCCCTCTCCCTGCAATTCCCTCTGCCTGAAATTTCTTCATATCCCTAATTAATTTAATTAATCTGAGATCCCTTCCCGCAGCCCGGGTTCGTATCCAGGGATCTGAGCTCCGCTGCTGCCAGATCCATCCCGGCGCTGCCGCTCGCTCCAGCCGGGAATCGTGCCAGGAATTCTGCGGGAATGCTGCTCCTCCCTCGGGATGCGCCGCCGCTTTTCCCGCTGTGGCCGGGGATGATCCCAAACCCCGGGATTTTGGGCAGAGGAGCCGCTCCCAGGTAAATCCCGCAGGAATTGGGGCCGGGAGGAGCCGCTGGAATTCCTCGCTCCCACAGCGATCCCGGGGTTTATTCCAGGCGGGAATTAATAAATGGCAGAGCTGGGAATGCAGGAATGGGAGCTGGGAATGTGGGAATGGGAACTGGGAATGAGAACTGGGAATGGGAACTGGGAATGTGGGAATGGGAACTGGGAATGTGGGAATGGGAGCAGGGAATGGGAATGTGGGAATGGGAACTGGGAATGTGGGAATGGGAACTGGGAATGGGAGCCAGGAATGGGAACTGGGAATGCAGGAATGGGAGCTGGGAATGGGAACTGGGAATGTGGGAATGGGAACTGGGAATGTGGGAATGGGAACTGGGAATGGGAGCCAGGAATGGGAACTGGGAATGCAGGAATGGGAGCTGGGAATGGGAACTGGGAATGTGGGAATGGGAGCCAGGAATGGGAACTGAGAATGTGGGAATGGGAACTGGGAATGTGGGAATGGGAGCTGGGAATGGGAATCGGGAATGGGAGCTGGGATGTGCTGGAGTTTGTGAAGAAGAGGAGAGAGCCCAAAATTCCTGGAAAAATCTGGAATTCCCAAGTGGGAATCACATCCTGGACAAGGATGTGACTCCTTCCTGAGCAAGGGGACCCCAAACCCCCAAATCCCAGAGGAAAATCCATCCTCATCCTATCGGGAATTTCCCATCCTGGGAGGTTCCAGCTCCTCCACCGAGGGTTGGATCCCAAAATCTGGGATTGAGGAGCACCAGGAGCAGCTCCAGGCTCTCCCAAACCCCTGGAATTGATCCCATTGATCAGGGCCTCCCTTTAATTGGGGTCCCCCTTTATTGGGATCTCCCCTTTTTTGGGGTCTCCCAAATTCCCTCCAAACCCCTCAGTCCCGCCGGGCTCAGCTCTTTGGGAAAGAACTTTCCAGATTTTGGGAAGTGAAGTTTTCACTCTGGGTTGTTCAAAGTGAAGGTGGAAAAAATAATAAATTTGAGGTGTATCCAAAAAAATAGAAAAATAAAATTTGAGTGGGATCTAAAAATCCAAAATTAAAGGCAAATTAAAAAAAAAAAAAATCAAAATCCAAGGGGCTGAAAAGGATGAAAAACTGAGGAGATCTAAAGGGTCAAAATTGGGGACCAAAAAAGTAAAATTCGAGGTAAGTAAAAAAAATTTTTATCAAAATCCAAGGGGCTGGGAAGGATCAAAAACTGAGGGGATAAAAAAAAAAAAAAAGGAAAAAAAAAGAAAAAAAGAAAAGAAAAAAATCAAAATCCCAGGGAATAAAAAGCTGAAAATCCTTGGGAACCCAAAGCAATTCCAGGTCCCTGCGTGGCTGCAGCAGCCTCGGCAGCGCAGGCGGTTCCTCCTCATTTTCTCCCGGGATTATTTATTTATCCCTGCTGGAAAATCCCTTCCCAGGCGCTCCTTCCCGCAGCCTCCAAAGGGTTAACGCGGCCGCGCTCGGCCCTGCGGGCGGAAACGGCCCCGGGTTCGAATCGCCCGCAGGAACCGCGGGAGCAGCCGGGGGTTCCCGATCCCCTCTGGAGGTTCCCGATCCCCGCCGGGGGTTCCCGATCCCCTCCGGAGGTTCCCGATCCCCGCCGGGGGTTCCCGATCCCCGCCGGGGGTTCCCGATCCCCTCTGGAGGTTCCCGATCCCCGCCGGGGGTTCCCGATCCCCGCCGGAGGTTCCCGATCCCCGCCGGGGGTTCCCGATCCCCGCCGGGGGTTCCCGATCCCCTCCGGGGGTTCCCGATCCCCTCTGGAGGTTCCCGATCCCCGCCGGGGGTTCCCGATCCCCTCCGGAGGTTCCCGATCCCCTCCGGGGGTTCCCGATCCCCGCGGGGGGTTCCCGATCCCCGCCGGGATCGCGGCCGGGACGAGCCGGGCATGGGCCGGACCTGCCGCGAGTCCAATTTTTATTACTACAGCATCAAATTCGCGCTCTCCGCCTACGCCACGCTCTTCTCGGTACGTTCTTTCCCCTTTTTTCCCCATTTTCTCCCCGTTTTGCCCATTTTCCCCCATATTTCCCCCCATTTTCCCCCAAATTTTCCCCCATTTTCTTCCCGTTTTCCCCCATTTTTTCCCCATTTTTTCCCTATTTTCCCCCATTTTTTTCCCCATTATTTCCCCATTTTTCCTCCCATTTTCCCCCCATTTTTCCCCATTTTCCCCTGTTTCCCAGCGTTTCTCCACGTTTTTCCCAACCAAAATTGTCTTTCCCAGCCCCTTTCGCTTTTCCGCGTCTCAATATCCCCTTCCCAGACCCCAAATCCTTCAGGAAAACCCGCGGTGCCTCCAAACCCCTTGGACCACCCCAAGCAATTTAGGGCGATTTTGGGCTCCAAACGTGGCGATTTTGGGGTGAACCCGCGGGTTTTGGGGTTTTCTCCCACCTCATCCTCCCCCGTGATTCCTTTGTGGCCACGAGTCCCGTTTGGAGCAGAAAAAAACTAAAAAATTCAAAATTTTCACCCCCCAGGTGCCCCCTGCAAACCTCGAGGGGGTTTCAGCCGCGTTTTTGCCGGGAAAATCCCAAATAAATTTAAATAAATTGAATTTTAGGCGGTTTTGAAACCCTGGACTCTGCTCGGGGCGGGATTTCCCCGCACCTGGGAGCTGCAAACACCTGCGGGAGGAAGGGAGGGGAAAACCGGGAATTCCGCCCTTTTGGGGTCTCTTTTTGGGGTTTATTTTGGGTAATTCCGACTTTATTTCCAAATATTTCCTCCCCAGGGTTAAATAACCTCGGGTGGGGCCGATTTTTCAGGTGTGAGCACAGAAATTCCTCTGCAGGTGCCCGGAAATGGTTTTAATTCCGGTTTTTATTGATTTTTGACACATGAATGAGCTCAGCCATGGCCAAAAATCACCAAAATTTGGGGTTTTTTGGGATTATCCCCCAGATTTTCCAGGCTCTGCCATCTCCGAGGGGCCAGAGCTCTGTGACATTCCCAGAAACCCCAAAAATTCCGGGTTTCTCCCACGTTTCTGGCTCAG